CTGACAGATACATCATTGCCGTAATATTCTCTCGGAACATCTCTGACGGAGGAGACAATTTGACAATTTGACGTAGCCGTAACCGAAATTGGAGGTAAATTCAAATTGATCCGTGCGATGTCTCGGACTTTTTGATTAGGCGAGATAAGCCCGCGTATGCTCGATGAAAAATACGCGTCAGCCGTACGAGGAATTCATGCAGAATTCATGCAAGAGATATTCGTAACCTACATTCGCGAGTCATATGAATCGAACGACGTAATACGGTTTTTCTCATTATTGATAAAATGTTTCGCAAATCGATCGATATGAACTAGATAACAACAAAGAGTAATTTTATATTATTATTATTTGTACGTCGAGTATATTTTTCTGTCTCTTGTTATCTGAATAGTTATCAGTGCGATTGTGTAATCCACCCTAATCTTAAGTGAGTTACTCTGTTACGTATGTATTACAGAAAATTTGGAGAAAGAGGACCTGAATACGGATATAGAAGTAGTTAAAACGCTTTCGCTTATCAGAGAGAAATTATATCGAGAACACATTTACTGGATTTAATTGCATTTAATTGCATTAAGATTCTGATTTGTATATTTATTTGACATACTGTTACTATGGCTCTTCATTCAGTAAATACTGGTGATAGCAATTTGGATATCAAGATCATCGAATGGCTGCAATGGAACAAGGTATGATATTTATGCTAGTAAATATCTTATTTTTAACATAATAATGTATTCAAATAAATGCATTTATCTTAAATTTTTATATTATAAATTTTTGTACTCGATATTATAGGATTCAAAGGCAAAAGATGAGATATTTGAATATTTGGACAATGGACATGTAAAAGCATTATCACAGTTATTTCTTAAAAGACTCGAATTTGGTACTGCAGGTCTTAGAGGTTGCATGGGACCAGGTTATAGTCAAATGAATGATTTAGTCATTGTGCAAACTGGTCAAGGATTGATAAAATATTTAATGGATACAATATTTGATGTTGCACAGAAAGGTGTTGTAATTGGATATGATGGTCGTTACAATAGTAAGAGGTGAGTTATTTGTGATATAATACAATTTCATTGTAATACAATGAAACTATTTTTCAGATTTGCTGAGTTAACTACTGCAATTTTCATAGCCAATGGTGTTAAAGTTTATTTATTTTCCACGATCTGTCCTACACCATTTATACCTTATACTATCTTGAGATATAAATGTGCAGTTGGAATTATGATTACTGCTTCTCATAATCCGAAAGATGACAATGGTTACAAAGTTTACTGGGAGAATGGCGCACAAATTATTTCACCACATGATAAGAAGATTCAAAGCTATATTCTTAATAATCTTGAACCACTCGAGTCTTCGTGGGATGTAAGCAAAATTTACCAAAGTTCCTATTATAAAGATCCAAGAGATGACATTATGCAACATTATTATCAAGACTTGAAAAATAATGTTCTATATCCCGAAGTTAATAGAAATACCACGATAAAATTTATATACACTGCCATGCATGGTGTTGGACATGAATATATGATAGCTGCGTTTAAAGCAGCAAACTTTAAGGTAATATTTTTATAACTAACATTAGAAATATGACTACTAAAAAGATCTTATTGAAGACTAGAAATACTTATTGTCTTTCAGCCATTTATAACAGTCGAGGAGCAGAAAATGCCAGATCCAGAATTCCCCACAGTTAAATTCCCAAATCCAGAGGAAGGAAAGAGCGCTCTTGATCTTAGCATAAAGTTGGCGAATAAAAGTGATTCGTCTGTGATACTCGCTAATGATCCCGATGCTGATAGACTTGCATGCGCTGTAAAAACGAAAAGGTCTGTGAATTTGTAGCCTGTAAATTTGTATCTAACTATAGATGAACTATGAAAATATATTGGATGATATATTTGATCTTTGTAGTGGAGAATGGCATGTCTTCTCTGGAAATGAACTCGGCGCATTATTGGGTTGGTGGATGATTCACACTTATCAGGTATTACATCCTGATAATGATATGAGTGATACATATATGTTAGCATCAACTGTTTCCAGTAAAATCTTAGCTTCAATGGCTAAAAAAGAAGGTTTTAATTTCGAGGTTTGTATATTTAAATAAATATTTTAAAATGTAAAAGATAATATATTTGTTTTAAATCTAATAAGAATATCTTGTTTTTTAATAGGAAACTTTAACAGGCTTTAAATGGATGGGTAACAAAGCTATAGAATTAATGAACAATAATAAGGAGGTCTTGTTTGCATATGAAGAAGCTATAGGTTTTATGTGTGGTTCTAAAGTCCTGGACAAGGATGGTATCAGTGCTGGTGTACGTGTAGCTGAATTAACAGCTTATCTTGAAACGATAGGATTGACTTTATCTGATAAATTAAGGGAAATATATGAAGAGTGGGTTACATTACATTTATATAATATCTGAAACATATTTTAATTTAATACTAAATTAAATTTTAATTATTCTATGATATATAGATATGGTTACCATATCAGTGACAATTCCTATTGGATATGTTATGAGCCAGATATTATTAAAACGATATTTGAACGATTAAGAAATTATTCGGATAAACCAAATACAGTAAGTACTATTTTAATTTTTATTTTGGGTATTTTATAAAAAGATATTTTTTTCTTCTATCTAAATGTTTAGAAAGAGCTTGCATGCTAATTTGTACTGTTTGTTTAAATTATATATGTATATTATTTATATTTTTTAACTTTGTTTATACTTGTACAATAAGAAACAATTAAAAAAAATTAACTAATACAAAGTTTGATAAATAGTATCATATCACAATATTACGTAAGACTCTAAAAAGCACGTCTGACAAATATATCTAGTTGTAGTTGTACTTGATTAAAAAAAAAACATTTTCTAGATAATTTAAAAATATAGAGATATAGATATAGAGATATACAGCAGATTATATAAAGCTAGTTTTCTATCGCAAGTGTCACAATGAGCGCTATTTCATAAACGACTAATGTATTCTAATTTGTATCTAATGGTATGCTCACAAGGTCAACAAGTATATGTGATGCATGAAATAGCATAAACTGGTTAACTACTCTGAAAGTGTAATAAAGCGCTGACGTATTTCTGCATGTGTCATTCTAACTGACGTAGTCGTATTGGTAATGGCGCTTTATCGCTATTTTCGTGATAAAGTAATAATAAACACGATGTAAAAGTGTTGTGTTCGATAGAGCAATAGCTTTTTATCGAAAATCAGAAATTTTATCGGAATATTTAGTTTGGATTTGCTTTTTCTAGACACAATTGTTTTTATATTTGATGTATCAATTTGTGTTAATGTAGTGCAATAATATGTGAGGTGTATAATAACGATTAATGATAAACAAAAATATTTTTAAAAACTTATATAATTACATTTCCTTTTTCTTTTTTTGTCTTCGTTTAATGCTTGCTAAGATGACAAAAAACAATATCTGCAATAAGTATGTAAACATGGCTGTTATATCATTGACACTACTACCTTCCGTGCTTCTTGCTGTTCTGTTTATTCCAGTAATATTATCGTTATATCATCTCACACCATTTCTTGAGGAAGAAACAGATATAACTGTGTAAGTATATATAAGCTTCTCACACATTTACTGTATTAATTGAAACGTGTTAGTATTGATTGCTTTAGCATAAAAACAGATTTATTTACATTTTCTTTATTGTTTTGTATATATTAATGATAAATAGATTAAGGCATATAAAAATAAAAATTCTTTTAAAGAGAATTGGAAATATTTGGAATTTATTTTAGTGTAAAAACATTTTGTGTTTTTCTTTGTTTTTCTTATAAAGATTTTAATGTAATTATTTGTTTAATTTCAGTACCCAACTGGAATTCTTAAAGGAAAATACATAATAACTGGCATTCGCGATTTAACAACAGGCTACGACAATACAAAGCCTGAGAATAAAGCAGTTTTGCCTGTATCCAAATCTAGCCAAATGATTACATTTACATTCAAAAATGGATTAGTTACTACTTTAAGGACTAGTGGCACGGAACCTAAAATAAAGTACTATAATGAATTATGTGGATCGCCTGGAGAGTAAGTTCTTCACAAACATTATTTACAATATTTACTTTATTTTTATTTAATTCTAAATATAATTTATTATTTTTTTTTAAACAATATTTTGTAACAAATTTGAAATATTAATTTAATATTATATCTTATTATATAACATTTCAATTTTTTTAGGGACTTGAGTAAATTAAAAAGCATTCTTAATGAAATGGTATCGGCTATTGTAATAGAATTCCTTCAACCAGAGGTTAATGGACTTATCGCTCGTGAAGAATAAATTATATTAATCGCATTATTGTGTACATTAATAATTAAGTTATTTTAATTATTAGTACATCTTATAATCTATTTTTAAAAATACTTTGCTGTAAAATGATTTTGAATATTTTTGATTTATAAATTTATTTGAGCATGTGTGTGTGTGTGTGTGTGTTGTATATATATATATATATATATATATATATATATATATATTATTAGTTATATATATATATAAGTAAGTAAGTATATATATATACTATATATATATATATATAATAATATATATATATAATAATAATAATAATAATATATAATATATCTCTGTGTAGTAGTAGAACACTATATACTACTACTATTACTTTATATACTACTACTACTAACTACTCTACTCTCTCTCTACTACGTCGTCGTCGTTACGTTAGTTACGTTAGTTAGTTAGTTAGTTAGTTAGTTAGTTAGTTAGTTGTGTGTGTGTGTGTGTGTGTGTGTGTGTGCGTGCCGATGCAAATCAAACTTGAAAAAAAAATCGAAGATTCGAAGGAATATATAAGACATTGTCGGTAAAAAAGATTTTTTTAGGAAAAATTTATTTTCTCTTCCGTTCGATGGCAGCATTATGGCGTTCGCCGTTCGCTCGACATTCTAACTGTGGTAAACGGCTTTCCGATGTTGCGTGTCGTGCGCGGTTATTTGTTATAAATTCTGCTTGTAGAAATTGGCTACCTGTCATTCTTTTCGAGCGACCGATCATTGCTCACGTATGCGATACAAAAAGAAAAAAGAAGAAATTTGACAACGACCGATCTCTGATCGTGAAATCAACATCAAGGAAGAGCCATCGTGTTTCCTGCATATCCGCTCGTATGACGGTGACATCGACACCCACGGGAGGAGCGAAATGATGCGTTGGCGACTATCACGCTCGTGAGGACGCCCGCGCTGTGTGTCATCGTGCGATCATGTCCTCACTGCTTCCGCGAGGCGATCGTGAGAGAGAGAGACCGATTTGTGCGCAAAGTTCGCGCCCGCGTTTCGGCGATTTCAGGTACGCTGCGTCCGTTGAGGTCAAGCAACTCGAAGGGGAAGGGGAGAGAATCGCTCTCGAGAGGAATTGTCCCTGAATGTTTCGAGTGTCCATCCCCGGCGAGAAGGATTATCGCTCTTCTTCACATGATAATTGTGAATAACGATAATTTTCAACTTGCAGCTTTGTAGATACATCATATAACTGCAATCATTGCGGTCTACGTTCGTCGGAAATGACACGAGTCGATCCGTGAATTGACAGATAATATCCATTTGTGAATATTAATATTAACATATTTTGTGTCCTATATCTTTCTTTTTTTCTTCCTTTGGTGAATTTATTTATTATGCTACCATCATGACCACCATACCGCTAACTGATAAACAGCTTCATCAACTGGTGAGTCAAGAGATTGTACTATATATGTTGGAATATTACAATTATCTCATATCCTGAATGAGTTGGAACTATGTAGATGATACCCCTTTGAGCGTCCTTTTTAAAAGTTAATAAGAAAATAAATTTAAATATCTGATACCAAAACTTAAATTTTTTAAATTTCTTGCATTTTATTATGTAAACATATTGTTTATTGTTTATAGAGTATTAGCATTGGGAAAGCTGTAAATTACAACTGAAACACCAGTCAAGGAGAAACATGTTCGAAGTATCCTTTCTATTATATAAGATATAATAACATGTATATATATGTATGTATGTGTGTGTGTGTGTGTGTGTGTGTGTGTGTGTGTATTTATTTATTTATTAGTAAAAAAGACATTTACAAATAAATTTCCTTATAAAAATAAATAGGTGCCATCATCGGGACGTATCGAGAGAAAAGTGGTTGTATCTTTTGGACTTATATACTGAGACAACCGTTACAAGAGAATCAAATTGTTGCATGGAAATTTTGTCATGTTCTGCACAAAGTATTGCGTGAGGGACATCCCCGGGTTATTGTTGATTCACAGCGATATCGTGGTAAACTAGAA